ACAGCCTATTTTGTCTAAACATCTTCATAATTGTTTCTTGCCTCCTGCTATTTTTTTTTTTCCTGAATGAAATTTTTCCTAGTTAAGTGACTTGCCCAGAGTCTCACAGCTAGTAAGTGTCAAGTGTTTGGTCCGAGGCCTGATTTGAACTCAGGTCCTCCTGACTTCAGGGCCGGTGCTCTATCCACTGTGCCACCTAGCTGCCCCTTTACCTCCCTACTATTACAGAAGTAGTTTTGGGTCTCTGAATTTTGAGGTGAGAGCTACACAACAGTAGGCAAAACCCACTTCTCACATGGTTTACATTTCCTGGGCACACTGGCTAATAGATTGAAAGCAGCTGATAAGTGCACAAAGGAAAAGCCCAGAAGAAGACCAGAACTGTGTGTATGTGAAAATCAAGAAATGATTGAACTTTTTTTTTTTTGTTTTCTTAAAGAAAGCAGTTTCTTTAGGCGAACAGGCTGGAAATTCTATACCATAAATTAAATTTGAAAGCTGAATTAATAAAAAGTTCATCAATATACAGTTTTAACAAAATGTACATTTTTAATTATAACAGAATCCTTTAAAATTAAAATTTGGTAACTGAATTAATACTAAATTACTAAACTAAATTTAATAATTGTGGTAGTAACTTATGGAAATTGTCATTTTAACTGCCTGAATAGTAATGCAGAATTGTGTTGCAGAGTAGGTAAATAAATGAATTTCCAGCAGTTAAAATTTGAGTTGAAGAAATGTTTTTCCCACTCCCTAAGTGTTTCGGTAATTAGAATTAATAAAATATATTAAGCTAGTTCCAATGTTATTTTTTTAAAAGCCATATCTACAACTTTCTCCTTTTATACCAGTCACTGTTGATGAAAAAAAAGTTGCCAAATTAGTTTTATTCTGTCAGATTTGTATTTTGTACTTAGCCTAATACCAGTGTTTAATTTTTCCCTTTTTAGCCTTTGCTTTGGGCTTTGACTTCTACTATTTAATATTTATTTTTAATAATGTGCTTTGCATTCACCTTTCTATGGTTAGTAGTGTTTTCATGCATACTTCACAGATGAGATCTTTGCTTTTGATAAAGTAGGGTATTATAAAAAACATCTGCTGGTTCAGTGAAAAGTAAAGGTGTTACTGTGACCATCAACAAATGTCTTAAGATTTTCATTTCATTTTGGCCCTTGTATTATTACCATGTGACCTTGGGCAAGTTCTTTCTTTGAGATTTAGGCTTTCATTTTGCAAGATAGGGAAGCCCTCTGGGCCCAACTGGGTTATAGGGAATCAACTGAGGTATAACACCTATGGAGATGATTTGAAAACTTAATAGCTCACAAACAAAAGGTACTGTTAGCATTTTCTTATGGGAGTTTAGATGTGACCATTGAGGGCCTGAGTCTTTTTGGAAGACTTCAGGGAATAGGTGAAAGTAGAATTAAGAAAGACCTAGTGAACAAAAAACTAGAAACAACCTAAGTGTCCAAACATTTAAAAAAAAGTAGTTGTGAGCCTGGGTCACAGGGAGGAAAGTGGTGTTCTTAACAGTAATAGAGAAGTTTGGAAGAGGGGAGGGTTTTGGGGAAAAGGTATGAGTTTAGTTTTGGACATGTTGAGTTTAACTTGTCTACAGGACAATTTAAGATGTCCATTCAGCAACTGGAGATTCAGTAGTTGAAGTCAGCAGACAGGTTAGGATTGGAGAATTAAATCTGAGAATCATCTGTCTAGAGATGACAATTGAAACTATGGGAGCTGATGAGAGCACTCAGTATACATGATTTGAAATTGAGGGTATTTAGTTTTCCTGGCTAAAATGGAGATCTCAGTGTAAAGATCAAATGTGAAAATATGGCAAAGAAACTTTTCAGTATGCAGTTGTATTTTAATACTATAAAAAGTGTAACTTAAATGTGGTTGGTCTTTACACCTCTATACCTTCCATCTTCATGAGTTGTGATGGTTAAAAAACATATCAGCTGATGGCTAACTTGGCCATGAGTCTCAGTGAACGTATGCTGTGCCTCCAAAGACAGATGACAGTGAAAGGAATGCCAGATGAGTTGTACATGAAGACTGTCCAGCTTGTAAAACCTGATACAATGGTGTGTGCTGGCATAACCTTGTAATCTGGGATTATGGCATAAAGCAACATAGTAACTGATCAGGGGCAAGTTATATAACTTTTCAGCTTCACTTTTCCCTCTGTAGGATAGAAATAATTCACTTCAAAAAACATTAAGCTCTGATTATGTACAAAAACATTGTGCTAGGTGGTGGGTGTGTAGAGAAGGAAAAACTTATAACATGTAAACAAGTAAATAAAAGGTCATCTGATAAAGGAGAGAGTTCTAACATTTTGGAGGAGGTGTGTGGGCTTGAGCTTTGAAGGAAGTTAAACATTCAGAGACAAAGGTGTGGGGGTAGCATGTAGGTTTCCTGTTAAAGGAAACTTGAAAAGCAAAAACCTGGCCAGAGAGTTGGATGATACCAGAACAAAATACTGTGTACAATGTCAGGGAAGTTTTCTGTATTGGATTTTTTTTTCTTTAATGGATTCATTTATCATAAGGGAAAGAGTTCAATCTGAGGGCTTCAGTGAGAAATGCTTATGATGTAAAGACAAAAAAAGAGCTAAAGTTTAGAAAAGTAAAGTCAAGAGAGCAATACGGAGGAACAATACCTGTAGTAATATAACAACATTGCAAAATAAGTCATGAGGATGAATTCAACAAGCAATTTAATAAACTACTATATATCAGGCTCTGTCCTACATAGTACTAAAGCAAAATGAAAAAGCAGCCTCTGCCCTCAAAGAGTTTCCATTCAGTTGGAGATGGGGAGGGAGAACATGTACACATTTAATTCACTATAATATTTACACATAGTATTTGGGGAGGGAAAGAAGGGCATAGGTCTAACATGAAGAGCAATTTAATAACATAATAAGGGTTTTAGAGGGTGCAATGGAAGGGTAAGAAAAAGTGAGATAATTTATGAAGAAATGAGAAATGGATTAGGGTTAACATGAATGGATATAAGGGAAGAGGGAGTGGTGGTCAGAAAAAAGGGCTTTGGTCTACCCAGTCCGTAATTTAGAACATGGGCACTAAGTGGAGCCACAGGGTAGTGGAGTGGAGCCTTCTGTCATGGCAAAAGCAATGTTAATTTGGATATCAATTCTGGAAAAAAGTGGGGAAGTGAGGGAACTATACATGGCTTTATGGTTAAATCAAGGGGTCAGTGGAGTCTGGGGTCAGGCTGGTTATAAAGAAGTGAAGTAGACTTGAAGGACTCACTTTCAACCTGCTGAGCTCTGCAACAAGCTGAGTCCAATGTGGATAAAATGACATGATGTTTGTAAAATGTTTGGGGAAACTTAAAAGTATTGTCAGTGAACATAGCTAGGTACCATATGAACATTAGCTAATACTATTAGAATGGGAATATAAGGCAGTGTCATTTAGACACAGGTTCTTGCTTATAATCAGCATCTAGTCCAATCATTTGCAAGTGTTCAGTGTTTAATAAGTTCAAATAATTGGGTGGCCCTGTAGTTTCAGTGGAAGCACTGCATCAGACAGAAGCAATCTTAACATATCTGAAACTAAACTCACGATCTTTCTACCCAAATCCCTTTCAAATTTTCCCCTTTCTGTTGAGAACACTACAACGCCCATCATCCAGGCTCACATCATTCTCAAAGTCCCCCTTTGATCCCATATGTAGCCAATCTATTGTCAAGACCTGTGGATTCTGCCTTCCTAACATCTCCTGTACATGCTCCCTTCTCTCTTGACACTGCCACCACCCTGGTGCAGGACCTTACCACTTCACATCTGGTTCAGTCGTTTTTCAGTGGTGTCCTGGTCGTGACCCCATTTAGGGTTTTCTTGGTAGAGATACTGGAGTGGCTCGCTATTTCCTTCTCTAGCTCATTTAACAGATGAAGAAACTGAGGCAAAGAGTTAACTGACTTGCTCAGGGTCTCACAACTAGTGTCTGAGGCCAGATTTGAACTCAGGAAGAGGAGTCTTCCTGACTCCAGGCCCAGTGCTCTGTATGCACTATGCCACCCAGCTGCCCACATCTAGACTAGTGTTACAATCAGCTGGTTGGTTTCTTTGCTTCATCTCTTCCCACCCCAGCTGCCAAAATTATCTTATTTATTTTTTTTCGTGAGGACAATTGGGGTTAAGTGACTTGCCTGGAGCCACAATGCTAGTGTTGTATGTCTAAGGCCACATTTGAACTAAGGTCCTTCTAACTCCAGGGCCAGTGCTCTATCCACTGCGCCACCTAACTGCCCTTCCAAAATTATCTTCTTAAAGCACAAGTCTGACCACACCACCACCCTCCTGAATAAAAACTCCAGTGGCTCCCTATGACTTAAAGGATCAAATGTAAAATTCTGTTTAGTTTTTAAAGTCACTCATAACCTGGCTCCTTCCTATCTTTCCAGTCGCCTTATCCTTTATTCCCCCATCCACATACTACACTTTCCAGGGACACTGGCCTCCTGGCTATTCTTCGAACATACTTTCAGGCATTTTCACTGGCTGTCCCCCACGTCTGGGATGCTTCCCTTTTCTCCACCTCCTGGCTTCCTTCAAGCCCCACCTTCTACGAGAAGCCTTTCCCCTCCACCCCCTCCCTTTCCCTTCCTGTACATCTTGTCTATACATAGTCTTCTGCATGTCCTCTCTCATCAGAATGGAAGCTCCTTGAGGGCAGGCACTACGTTTTTGTCTCTTTGTATCCTCAGAGCTTAGCACACAGCAGGTGCTTAATAAATGCTTGGTGACAACTTTAATGAGGACGACAAATAAAGTTTGTGCGATTGTGGTCGTGGACTTGGTACTGGCACTTAGAGCGCGGCCAGGGGCAGCCAACTTAACCCCAATAAGTTTTAACTTTCTCACCTACAAAATAGACAAGTTAATATTTTGCACTACCTACCTCGTAGGGTTGTGAGGAAACAGCCTTGTTTTTATCTTATCCTGTCCTGAATTTTCCTACCTGGCGGTCACTTTCCTTTCACCCCCTAGGAGCAAACACAAACACCCAGACCCGCTTCCGGTTTCGGTTACGGAAGCGTTCTCGGAGCCAATGCAGGCAGGACACGTGACAAAACAATCCCGGCAGGCCTCGTTTTCATGGGTTGAGAACTCCGGTTCCGCCCCCCTGTGTCATTCTGCGCCTGCGCGAGCGGAGTCGGCCTTCGTCTCCATGGCAATGACTGTTGGGGGTCCGGGTAAGGTTGTTTACTGTAGGCTTCCCTCAGTCCCTTCCTGGGACTCTGGAATTGGAGCTTCTCAGGGGCTGAGGCCATCTGGTCCTACTGCGGTCCTCTCACGCCTTGCGGAGCTAAGGACGTGCCTTGAAAAGGCCCATCAGCCCCCCCCTCCCCCTGGGCATCGAAGACCTGGTTATAGCTCCAGGAAAGCTCGCGAGATTCTCCGCCTCCGACCTTGACCATTGCGTTACATTGGTCTAGAGAGAGAGTGTGTGGGGGAGGGGGACGGAACTTTACGTCCCTGAGTCAGTGATGGCGCGAGTGGGACGAGAGCTGAAGGATGTCGGGAAAAGCCTGCCCTGGGCGGTGTGGGGTGCTGGGGGCAGAGCCGGGGCGGAGTCAGGCCTGGGGTGGGCAGAAGGTTTCGTGAGGCGTAACCCCCTTCTCCCTGCCTCAGCTTTTGCGTCTGCAAAATGAGGAGGTGGGACTAGATACTCCCCAGAGCCTCTTCCTCTCAGATCAGTCAGTCAAGATGCATTAACTTCCTTCTCTTTTCTGCCTCGTGCTAAGCGCTGGTGACGCTGACACAATGAATGAATTAGTTTGTACTCTCTAAGACCTTCTATTGTAAGGGAGGGTTTAAGTCCACATACAAACATACATACATACACACACACACATATATATGTATATATACACACCATACATTTATATATGTATATACACCATACATTTATGGTTAAATACATATATGTTTAATTATATGTATAACTATATAGCTAAATACAGATATCTTTAAGTATATCTTATTTTGGGGCAGCTAGGTGGCTTAGTGGATAGAGCACCTAGCCAGGAGTCAGGATGGTCTGAGTTAAAATCCATCCTCAGACACTTATTTACTGTGTGATGAATATTAAAAGAATAAATGAAAAGTAGCTTACAGAGAGAATAAATATCATGTAGTTTATGGAGGGAGGACACTTAACAGTTTAAGGGGTGAAGATCAGGAAAGGCTAATTTATATAGATGTAGATGTGAAGCTGAGGAAGGAGAAGGCCTTTGAAACGAGGAAAGGGGGATTAAAAAAAGTTTTTACTGCTGATCACTGTAAGAAGTAAACAGTAGTTTTAAAAGACAAAAAAGGGAAAAGTTATCTACCTCAAATTTCTTCTGAACTCCAGGCCAGCATCTTCAGCTTAGTCTTGGACATCTCTACCAGCATGCCTTATCCAGTGCCTGAAAGGACTAAACATATTCCAAATGGAACTGATTATTCTCTCCCTACACCCTTGCCCATCTAAACTCTACTCATTCTGTTGAGAATACCACCATCCTATCAGTTAGGAAGGTATATCTTAGGGCAGCTAGGTGGCACAGTGTGATAGAGCACTCACTGGCCCTGGAATCAGGAAGATTCAGCTTCATGAGTTCAAATCTGGCATCAGACACTTCCTAGATGTGTGACCCTGGGCAAGTCACTTACCTCTCTGCTTCAGTTTCCTCATCTGTAAAATGAGCTGGAGAAGGAAATGGCAAACTACTCCAGTATGTATACCAAGAAACCCCAAATGGGGATGTGGAGAGTCAGACATGACAGAAGACGATTGAACCATGAACAGTATCATAGAGATAGAGTTGGTAGAGGTGTTAAGATATAGTTTAGAGGAATTTTACAGATGAGGACAGTGAGATTTCAGAGAAGTGACTTGCAGAGCTTAGCACTCCCACTCCAAATCCACCACACTCTCCCCTCGGGATTGTCTCTATTTAACTATTAACCAAGATACGAGATTAAGTGAGGAGTTATCTTTGACTCATCCCTTCCTCCAACCTATCCTTAGTCAATCCAATAATATGCTTTCATTTATTGATTCTACACCAGGAGTTAATTCTATTTGTATCCCTCTCTTCTTTCATACTGCTACCTCTAATTTAGTCCCTCATTACTTGGATGATACCTATGATAACTTCCTAATTGATTCTTCTACCTCCAAACCCTTCCCTATTCTAATTTGTTCTTTACATAGCTGTCAAAATAATATTTCCAAGGTGTAAAGCTTACAAAAAGCCCGGGCTTTGTTGTAAGAGGACCACCATGCAAACTCCAGCTTTGCAACCTGTTTTCTGTATGAACTTGGGGAGGTTACTAAACCATTCTTGGCCTCAGTTTCTTCTATAAAATAGTTTCTCTAGATTAAGATCTTTAAGATCTCTCCAAACTCTAATATGATCTTATTACTTTCCCCTGTTCAAAAATGATTCATCACCCAAAGTTTTAAAAACACATGTTTAAAAAAAATGTTTTCACATGCAACTGGGGAATAAGAAATACAGGAAATGGAGTACAGAAATCCATCCTGCCCTACAGGAAAATTGAACGGGAAGGGGATAAGAGAAGGGGGGGAGAGATAGAAGGGAAGGAAGACTAGGGGCAGGGGTATTCAGAATGCATGCCATCTTGGGGTGGGGGGAGGAGCGAGATGGGGTGAAAATTTGGAACTCAAAATCTTGTGGAAGTAAATGTTGAAAACAAAAAAATCAAAAATGATTCATCCTCAGATATCATTAGCCACTTCTGGAGTAGTCGTTTCTCAGAACTTTGTACAAAGTGATGACTAGTTCTTCCCCACCAGAGTCTTAGTATCACATCCTTTCAACATATTCTCTTTTCTTTACTGCTTTTACATTGTCCCATGTATTATGTATATTTCCTTGAAAACTCTTCTATGTTCCTATTGATAATTTTTGAATATCATTTTTATTTTGAATATCATTTCCAACCTGGTAATTTTCTATCCTTTATTTTCTTTCTTTTTACTTGTTTGGTCTTTCCTCCACTTAATTGACCTTTATTTTCTTCAACATATCCTTTTCTTTAAGACCAAAAAGCAAGGGGAATTATGGTTAGGAAAAATAGCTTACATTGTTAGCCTGTTATGGTTTACAGAGGCCATCCCCTCAGATCCAGCCTTGTAAGGTGAATGGTGTAGGTGGTGTTATCCCCATTTTACATATGAGGAATTTGAGGGTCAGAGAAGTTAAGTGACCATCACCCAGAGTCATCCAGCCAGTCATTAAGTGCCAGAACTGGAACCAAACGCTCCTCTGATTATGAATTCTCTGCTTAGTCTTATATCACTTGTCTTCAACTAACTTTAATTTGAATATTTTTATTTCAGGATTTGGGAGTGAGAACATATTTGAATATTTCCTTAAAAATAAACAGATTAAATCAGAAGATGGAGCTGAAATCATCTGGTATCATGCAGCTAACCATAAGTCACAAATGAAAGAGGCACTAAAAAGTAAGTGAATATTTGAGTGTTAGACACATTAGAGTCTAACAACTTACTGAATTTCTCTATGGTTTTTAGGTTATTGGATGGTCCAAGAAACAGTGGCATAAGATGACATACATACTAGGAAACAAACAAATTTCAGAAAGGACTCCCTGAATTGCATTTTTTGTAAAATAAAAATCTATCACAGAAGGATCTTCTCCATTCTGATGGCTATAATAGAAAGTGATATCTCCCTCTTTTAAGCTCCAATAGCACTTTGTAGTACTCATGACATTTACCTTGTACTATCTTGTTTTGTTGCCATTTCGTTTCTTCTAATCTCCTATTAGATTGTAATTTTTATGTGTTCAGGCACTGCCTTTATACTTCTTACAGTACCCATCCCTATATCTTTGCATATGATAGTTGCTTAAAAAAAACCCCATTTGTTGAATTAATCAATGAGTCCTTTAAACATCCACCATAACTAATAAAGGGGTTCCTTGGACAATATTTATTCCTTTGCAAGAATTAAAATGTGCTTATCTAGCTATGACTGCACTTTCATATTAAGCCATAGGGTAACTAATGGTCCTTATTCCTTTCTTCTTCATTTCCCTGCCCTCTGTTATGTACAGTATACATTTAATATTTCATACTTTATGCATAATGCTAATTTATTGGTGATAAAATCATAAATACTTGTTCTCAGGCTGATTCGGTTATAAGATAATACTCCTTCAAAGAATTATTCAATCACTCTTAATGATCATAACTGGTCAGGTAGTTGCACCTACAAAACAGTTTGAAATCAGTCAAAGGTCTGTAATATTTTAGTATTCCATCATGTTAAGACTATTTTAAAATTAATGCAAATTCATACAATAGTTCAACTCTTCTTATTAAAATTTCTTTTCCCCTCTATATTATTTTAATTGCCTCAGATTACATAGCTTTTAAAATATGGGATATGAACTTTGACTATGTGAAAAACATTCAGTTAAATTTTCTGTTGCACCGAAATAATAGATTATAGGGCTATAAAGTCATTAGAAGGTCTTGTGTGTTCTTTCTGTTTCCAAGTAAGAGTACCTGATCTGTTATAATAATTCAAATTTCTTGAAACTTTTCAGAAGCTTCCCTTTGTAATGTCTTTTAGTGTTATATAACTTCCCAAGAATTAGAAGGTAACTATGCCAGGTAACTGATTGAACCTTACTGTTTCTTTGAACTTCCATTTTGTCAACTTTCAGAGTAATGCAGTATCTAAATGAGAAACATTTGGATGAAAAGCAAATATTCAGTAAAACACCTGGATGCTTTCTTCTTCTAGATGTTCTCTCTTCTCTGGTTTTCATGACACTGTTTGCTATTGGTTCTTTTATCTCACTGACCACTCCTTATCAGTCTTGTTTGCTGGATCTTTGTCCAGGTTGAACCCCCAAACTATGGGTGTCCCCCAAGTCTCTGTCCTTGGTCTTTCACTTTTTTCTCTCTATATTATCTCTTTTGGTGATCTCATTAGCTGCTGTAGGTTCAGGTATCATCTTGGTAGAAGTGATTCCCAGGTTTATATCTTTATATATGTAGCCCTACTCTCTCTGCTGAACTACATTATCAACTGCTTCTTGGACAGTGCCACGGGCATCTCAAACTCAACATGTCCAAAATGAACTCATTATCTTCCTCCTCCCCCCAAAGTAGCCCTCTTCCCATTTTCTTATTAGTCTAGAGCACCATCATTCTTCCAGCCACCCAGGCACCCAACCTTGGTGTCATCCTAAACTTCTCTCTACTACTCTCTCCATATATCCAATCTGTTGCCAAGTCTTTTCTACCTTCACAGCTTATTCTGTGTACATCCTCTTCTCTCTACTCACATGGCTGCTATTCTTGTGCAGAACCCTTATCACCTCTCTCCCAGACTATTAATCAGTCTCCTTGCCTCAAGTCTCTCCCCACTCCAGGCTGTCTACCCACTCAGCTGTCAGAATGATTTTTCTAAAGCACAGGTCTGACCATGGCACCTCATTACTCAGTAAACTCCACTGGCTCCCTGTCACTTCCAGAATCAAATTCTCTTTTTGACATTTAAAGCCCTTCACATCCTGACCCCTTCCTACCTTTCCAGTGTTCTTATACCTTATTCCCTTCTGTGCCCTCTTCTGATCCAGCTTGTCCTACGTGTTCCTCACACGTGATTATCCATCTCATGACTCTGATTCCCCATGTCCTGGAATGTCCTTCCTTCTCACTTCCCTCTCCTAGCTGCCCTAGTTTCCTTCAGGACTAAGCTCAACTTTTGTCTCCTGCAGGAAGATTTTCTTTGTCTCCTCCACTAGTTGGTTGGTTGTTGCCCTTCATTCTCGAAGAGGATCAAAATGACATCACTGTTTTAGAGTCAAGTCACAGTGTGTCTGACTGTGGCTGAACAGACCAATACAAGCTTGGGATGCTCCACCACCGGTTAGGCAAAATATGACATTTGGAGTGGAAATGTCTCTAAATTTGCACTCTCTGCAGTTGAGTTTGAATGCTTGGCAGTTTAGCTCAAGAAAGGACCTGTGTCCTGTACCTTATCTTGCCCGGTGGTCTTCAGAATCTTCTTAAGACAATTCAAGTGGAAGTGATTCAGTTTCTTGTCATGGGACTGGTATATTGTCCAGGTTTCCCAGTCATCCAACAATGAGGTTAGCACAATGGCTCTATAGACCTTGAGTTTGGTAGTTAGTCTAATGCCTCTTCTCTCCCACACTTTCCTGTGGAGTCTCCCAGACCCTGAGCTAACTCTGGTGTGTCAGCCTCATCATCTGTATGTACATCTCTAGAAAGTATACTGCCAAGGTAAGGGAACTTATCCACAGTATTCAAAACTTTTCTATTTGCTGTAACCGATGGTTACAAGGACACTTTCAAAGTCTCTGAAGAACTTTGTAATTGATTGTGTGACATAGGAAACGCTGGCTTAGGACCATCCAGTATGGAGTGCCCTCATCAGAGAACGTGCTGTGTTCTGTGAGTAAAGCAGAACTGAGGTAGCTGAAAAGAAACACAAGATAAACAAATTTAGAGAATCCACCTTAAATGTTCACATGGATTATTTATGCCTGACTTGTGGTAGAACATTCTGAGCTTGAATTAGTCTGGTCAGCCACAGTTGGACACACTGTAACTTTAACATAGTAATGTCATTTTGGTCTCTTTGAGAACAAAGCACAACAACCAACCAACAATCTCCATGCTTAGTACAGACCTGACACGTAGTAAGCACTTAATAAATACTTTTTGACTGACTGCAGGAAAACTGTGGCTTAAGTGCTGAATTATTCTTGCTTCACAAAAATCAATACAGAGAATTATTTAGGAACTCTGAGGCCTAAATTCTGTTTTAATCCTTATGTATGCCTGTAATGTCCTCCCTTTTCTTCTTTACCTTATTTATCTCTCTCCATATATAAATTATACTATCTTCTCCATAAAATCTTTATTGATCTATTCTGTCAATAAGCCCTTTTCCTCCTTGGATCTCACATAACTTACCTACTCTCTGGACTTCAGCACCATGCATCAGCTTCATTCTCACCCTGGAAACTCCTTTAGTGTCTGGGGCCTCCTCACATTGGAACATTTATCCATCTACCTCTATGCCCTTCTCATAGTGGAACATCCTTCTTCTTTCCTCCTCCTTATTAGCATTTATATAGTGCTTTAAGATTTGCAAAGTGCTTTATATAGGTTAGTTTATCCCTCTACCACATCAGCTCCTTTCTATTGATGAGTTCCTCCTGGGTCTTACATTTTGGGGAAAGGCCCAGGCCGGCTAACCTTCATTCCCCTCAGAGTTGATCTTTTGATTTTCTGGACTTTACTTCCCACCCCCCCCCCCCCCCCACCTCACAGGTAACTTAATACGCCCCCTTTTGTGTGTTGTCTTCCCTTATTCAAATGTAAGCCCCTTGAAGCAGAGATGGGGTTTGTTTGTTTTATTGCTTGTATTTGGTTTGTATCTCTAGCATTTAGCACAGTGCCTGGCACATAGAAGGTACTTAATAAATGCTTATTGCTTTGCCTTACCTGATGCTGTGTTTTGGTTATGTATTCATTGTTTATTCCTGTAGTAGACTGGAAGATCTGTGAAGGCAGAGACCTTGTCTTAGCTAAACTTTTTGTGTCTTTCATCACATAACATAGTTCTTTGCATAAAATAGGTGCTTAATATATTTTAGTTTATTTGAATTGAATAGAAATTTAAAGTTGAAAGTGACCTTAAAGATCATTAAAAGCCATTGATTTGTTGATTAATTCATACATATACATAGGGTTAGTTGAAGGTAAACTTGTAGGTAGGTAAAGTTTCTTTTAGTATCTCTTATCTTCCATTTCTTCATTCAATTTTCCATTTCTAGGTAATCAGCTCTACCTCACTGAAACTGCCTCCTGCCCATACTGCCTTCTCTTTCTACCATCAAAACATTTTGGGGGCAGCTAGGTGGTGCAGTGGATAGAGCTCTGGCCTTGGAGTCAAGAGTATCTGAGTACAAATCCAACCTCAGACACTTGACACTCACTAGCTGTGTGACCCTGGGCAGGTTACTTAACCCCATTGCCTAGCCAAAACAAACCAAAAAAGCCCAAACATTTTTAAGGAAAAGTTTCCATGAATTTGTCCTTAATTAGTTATAAATGACTGAAAATGCTTCATGTTTTGTGTATCCTAAGGATAATTTAATTAAGGTAAAATATAGAGGACAAGTTTGAATCCCAGTGGGCCTTCTCAGTTTAGGTGACTTTCTACCCCATTCAGTCATAACTAGCCAGCACTGTGTGTACATTTGGAAAATCTGATTCAGTTTGTCTTATACAGAATGCCTTATTCTGTGGTTGTTGAGCTGACGGTGCTAGACAGAGGAAATGCAAGAGTGTGAGGTAGAACCTCTTCTGTCAGAGCAGTGTGGTTCCCAAGAGGATGGTAACACATATGGCTTTCCAAGTTGATGGGGTTTCGGCCCAAATCGAGATCCTTACCCTTTGCCGCAAAGGGAATCTGGCTTTACAGTCCCCAGCTCCTTCTTTCCCTTTGAAAGCTTTAGCCTTACCTTTTGATCTTATTCAGATGCACCTTTGCCCCTAGCCCTAAAAAGAACCTGGCTCCTGTTTGTCTATGGGTCCCAGAAAACCCTTAACCTTTTAGGTTCCTTATCGACTCTCTTTATCTCCCTTTGAAAGCAAACTTCTACCTTCCAGTTCCCTGCATTATCTATTCCCATTGTCTATTCAATCTCTCAGACGTTGCAAATGGAATTCTCACCTAGACCCTTTTCCCAACCACACCCCCCCCCTTTCTCTGGCCACCCAAAGTTACTTTAATGTATAAAAGATCCACCTTGGACCCCATTCAGATGCTGAGAATCTCTCAAGCCTAGAGGCTGAGCTTTCTCATGCCCACTTGTCCTTACGGGCGTCACCTGGCCTATGTGATTTATCTCTAATAAACTTTTTCTCTGGCTGGAAGAAGATTTGAGTTGAATTCTTTCAGGCAGGGCCGGGCACTGCGATCTTGGGGTCCATTTGAGCACTCCAAAACCTCTAGACCTCTTCACAGGTGTGGTGTTTGTTTCAATTTGCTTTGAAAAAACCTCATATATTATGATGTTCTATAATCTGCTTGAGGTCTTATGTACAGAGTACACTCAAAAGTTCTGCAACAATGATTTTGTCGGAGTCAGTAACTGATGTCTTCCTGTCAGCAACACTTTTTGAGCCCTTCTCTATTCTCTTCTCTGTTCTTATGTTAGGAATCATGGAAGGGGAAAAGATAGGGACGGGAATAAGCATTTATATGGCTTCTGTTATGTGCCAGGCTCCATACTGAGTGCTTTAGGAATATTACCTCATTTCATCCTCACAGCAACTCTGGGAAATAGGTGTTATTATTATTCTCATTTTGCAGTTGAGGAAACTGAGGCAAACAGAGGTTAAATGACTTGCCCAGGGTCACACAACTAGGAAGTATCTGAGGCTGAATTTGAACTCAGGGCTTCCTCACTTGAGATCTATCCAACATGCCACCTAACTGCCAAGGTAATCAGCGGTTGTGGGTTTGTTACAGACACCATTAGGAAATACAAAATAAGCAAATTTATATACCAGAAAAAAAGTTTTGAATATAGAATCCTTTGAGATCCCTAAACTTATTTAGCTTTCACTTTTTTAATGTTTCTCTGTGTCTGTTTAAATAGGTGGTGCTCACATGATAGAGGCAGATATCCTCCTTTCCTGTGATGAATCAGAACATGGACAGCCAATAATGGCTCATCCTCCTGAAATAAACAGTGATAACACTCTCCAGGAGTGGCTAAGTGAAGTTTTAAAAACCAATAAAGGCATCAAACTTGATTTTAAAAGGTACGTTGGAAAATGCCACAAACATCTTATATTCCTATTTGAGCAGGAATTCACTTTGAATTGAATTGAATTTTTTTCATTTAACAAAAATCTCTTTTCTCTCCCTTCAACCTCCCTTCCCATCCCCACCCCCCACTGCCATTGGGAAAACAAAAACAAAGAAAAACTTTTTATAATCAAACAAAACAAATTCTAGCATAGGCCATGTCCAAAAAAATATGTCTCTTTTAGGAGGGTGGTACCATCCTTCATCATCAGTCCTCTGGAATCACAGTTGATCGGAGTTCTCAGGGCTTCCAGAGTTGTTTGTCTTTAAAATGTTGTGGTATTATTCTTCTAGTTCTGCTCACTTCACTCTGTATGAGTCAAAAGTCTTCCCAGATTTCTCTGAAACCATCCTTTTCATCATTTCTTATAGCATAATAGCATTCTTCCATTATATTTATTACTACAATTTATTCAGCTAATCCCCAATTGATAGTCACCCTTCAGTTTCCAATTCTTTGCCACCCCCAAAGAGAACTGTAATAGATATTTCTGTACCTATGGATATTTTTTCTCTTTCTTTGATCTCTTTGGGGCTTCAACTTAGAAGTGGTATTGCTAGGTCCAAGGGTATGTACAGTTTAATAATTTTGGGGGCATAGTTACAAATAACTTTCCAGAATGGCTAGACCAATTCACAGTTTTAATATGCCTGTTTTCTCACAGCCCCTCAAACATTTGTAATTTCCTTTTTTATTAACTCTACCAACATGACGGGTGAGAGATAGAACTTTAGAGTTGCTCTAATTTTTATTTCTTTCTTTCTTAGTACTTTTGAACATTTCTTCCCCTTCCCCCACCCCCCATTAAGATTTTGGAAAGAAATCAGTTTGATAGTTGTCTTCTTTCCTAACTGTGGGAAAACCTTAGGTGTTGTTTTTTGTTTTTTTTTAGTTGACCAGCAAGTAGTCTATATAAGACCAATTGAGAATAGATTCTTGAATATGTGCACAGGTTTGACTGAGTGGTCAAGGTAGATAGCCAATCCATATTACAGGACTAAAAAAGAATCTTACAACTAATAAGGGAAAAAAGTGGCATCTAATATCAAAAGATTACATTTCTGTTTTATTTAACCTGAAAATAGAAGAGTGACATTCTGAAGTCAGAATAGATGTTGATGACAAAGTGATTCATGAATGGGCATAGTCCCTTGATGAAACCCCATTTAGTAGCTTAGACTGATTGTTTATGGGTCTTTGCGACACAAATGAAATTCTTTACTTCTAGAATGAAATTTCCCTGGTGGCAAATGGAGCAATAAATGAATGCATGCTGCTATTTGTTGTAAAGAGGATCAATATATTTAACAACAATGCAACTAATTGATTACCACTACTTCAAAAGGAGCTTCAGTGAATGTCCTTCTGCATTAATAGTATATTATTCATATGGATATGACAACTGTTAACTTCTCAATGAGTTATCTGCCTTTGACCTTTTTTTTGGTGGTGCTCTGTTAGAGTCATGGCTCCATAATGATTATGCTATGTGTCATTGGAGAAGTGATCAGAGAAAGTAAGAGCAGAGTCATTTTCATCCTATTGCTCCTGTTCTTTGTAGTTTTTGTGATACTCTGACAGGTACAAAAATTAATTACGTTCCTGTAAGATTTAGTGTAGTCTTTGCTTAGAGTAAGCCTGTACAACCTGCGGCCCGTGGGCACTCTAATGGATTTCAGGTGGCCCGTGAAAAATGTAGAGGATTTCTGAAATCAACAGGTTGTGTAGGCCTGGCTTAGAGAGTTGTAATTGGGGCATAGGGATGGGATGCTGCAGTTGAACAAAAGATTTTCTGATCTGTTGAAACTGCTAGAAAATGATGTGACTTTCCTTTATGATAAAAATACTAATATTCTTACTTCTGGAATAAGTATCATTGACGGGGTTATGTGCCCACCATTCAGTTTGAAAACCCTTAGATTTTTAGATTCCTCTTACCTCCCTTCCAAAGTCTCAGCCTGGACTTTTTGATCTTATTCAGATGTGCCTTCCTCCCTGGCCCTAAAAAGAACCTGGCTCCTGTTTGTCCTTAGAAACTGCCATTATTTCACTTTGAAACTCTCTTTATCTCCCTTTGAAAGCAAACTTCTACCTTCCAGTTCCCTGCATTATCTATTCTCATTGTCTGTTCAACCTCTCAGACCTTCCAAATGGAATTCTCAACCACCTCCCCCTTTCAACTGGCCTTTCATTGTGGCTACACCCAATCTCCCTTCCATTGTTTCACCTTACTATGGCCCCTGGCCATTTCCCACCCTTAATCCTGGCTAGGCACCAAGAGGTCCAGGACCCAGGATTTCTGTTTACCCCAGCAGTTCTGTTCACCCCAGCTTACTAGCCACTCCCATCCAGATCTCCTTAGACCCCTCTTCCAGTCACTCCAAACTACTTGGCCACTCCTCGATCCCTCCCACAGTCTTTCTGTACTTAAGATTCACCTTTACCCCCATTCAGATACTGAGCTGTTCTCACTCCTAGAGGCTGAGACTCTCATGCCTGCTCGTCCTCAGGGGCTTCACATGGACTATCCACTCTAACCCCTATTCTGACTCTGAGCTTTCCTTACGCCCAAAAGGCTGAGACTGTCTCATGCCCGCCCCATCCTTACAGGCGTCACCTGACTACCCTAGCCTCCATTCTGAGGCTGAGAACCTCTCACGCCCAGAGGCTGAGACTGTCATGCCTGCTTGTCCTCACGGGTGTCACCTGGACTATATGTGATTTATCTTTAATAAATTTTTTCTCTGGCTGGAAGAAGATTTCAGTTGAATTCATTCAGGCAGACTTGGTGCCACTAGGCACCCCAAAACTTCTACACCTCTTCATCATGACCCTGAATATTTACATTGGGAGTATATAGATATACTGTAGTAGAAAGAGCACCTAATTTGAAGTCAGAAGATCTGAGTTAAAGTTCAAGCACTGTTACTTACTAGCCATTTGATTAGGGTAAGTAATTTAACCTCTCCAGGCCTAAGTTTTCACATCTGTAAAATTTGGCTAAATATTGTCTTCCTCACAGGGTTGTTGTGAGGAAAGTATTTTGTAAATGTGAGTGGTTGCATGATTTTTTATTCTTTCCACATTTTACAATTGATTTTTTGTGATTCTACCCCATGTTTAGCTTTTTAATAATTTTTTAAGTTATGAAGTATCAATGAATATGTTGCTTGATTTAGAATATTTTCATAAATCTTATAGAGTTTATTTCTTCGTTCTTTACATCATGTTGGGTGATTTGTATTGCTCTAATAAGCATGATAAGCAAGGCAAGATGGCCAGGTTTCTTATTTAATAATATTTTTAGTTACCTCTAGGCACAGAGGTTCTCTCCAAAGAGAACCCGAGTATTATCCTTCTATGAAGCAGCATCTTCATCATGTATTTGGGTTTTTATTTGTAGGGAAAATGTCTTTGGACATGCACAGTTCATTAGTTATTAGGCCAAGATTTTATATTAAATGTGCAATAAGTTAAATGAATATAAATAATAAAAAAACTGGGTAATTTTGACCCAGAGATCTCGTTATTAGCACTATATCCCAAGAAGATACTGATAATCACAAGAAAGTCCCATCCATACAAAAAATGTTCGTAGCCGCATTATTTGTGATGACAAAAATCTGGAAACAAAATTGGTGGCCAGTGATTGAGGAATTGCTGAGCACGTTGTGGAATATAAGTCTGTTGAGATACTGTTGCCAGAGAAACATGGAGAGACTTGTGATACAGTCAAAATACAGTAACTGAGGTACAAAGTTCTGAGCATAATTAATTTATAAATAAATCGTGAATTTACCAAGCAATATGATTTCAGTTTCCTCAGCAAAAGTAAAGACCCCAAATGAGGGGGACAGCTCTTTTTTATAATTTTGGTGCATATAGAACAAAGAAAAAGACTTTGTAGGTGAGGAACTAGTTATGATTAGTTAAAAGAGCTTGACATCGTAAATGGTGAAATAGTGATTGGTTTTAGAGCTGAGGCGTAGGGGAACCAGACAGTTAGTTGGAAACTGGGAATGAGGGGCTAGGAACAACCCCATCCTTCCTGCTTGTGACAAAGAAGTGTTCATTGTTTGAGTCCACCTGCAAGGTCAGAGATAGTGAACCAACTTCTTTGGACAGCAAACCAGACATCCTTGAAGGATAGCTTGGTGGTGTAAAGACACTAGACCAGACTCCCTGGTGTCCACCTGGATCCCTCAAGGATAGCAGATTTCCTTGAAGCATGAATAGAACAATGAGTGATTAGCAAGAGAACTGGATTTCTAAACTTAATTTGTTACAGGCCAACAGAATTTCTAAACTAAGTTCAGAGACAAAGAACCATGATATAGGCAGTAACAAGACAAAATTATTTAATTGTAAACAGTAGCAATTAAAAAAACCCTATAAAATCAAGCGGATCATTTCACTTGTATGAAATGAAGGAAGAATGAAGGAATTAAAACCAGAAGAACAAGGAACGTGCTAACTGCAGCAATATAAACCAGAGCCATAATTTGAGATTCTTATATCTGGAGAAAATTCATTTGGCAGTATATGTGTTGCTACCCATCCCAGGTGCATTTGCACTGGGAGAGGGATTGGCCTATTCTCGTACTGTAGGACCATGGAGGTGGTAGCCTAGGGTTTGGTGAAGTAGTAGCACCACCACAGGAAAGAGTCCATTCCTCTCCCTGTCATTCTCCTCTAGTAGTACCCCAGAGCAAAACCCTGTGGGATAGGACTGTGATGTAAAGTCTAAATGGAAAAATTACGAAAGTCAGGTCAGATTCAGGGTTAAGTGTTAATATGATAATGCCACAGTTAAGGGATACAGCCATTCTTTCTGTAAATAATAAAAAAATCCCCTTTTTAAAGGAGAATGTACTTTGTAAAAGGAGAATGTACTTTGTTGGGAAGGATTTGTTGAATCAAAACAAAATGTATCAATACTTTTTTTTTTTGATG